ATCACCATCAATATAGTTCACATCGTCAAGAAAATACATGTCTAGTGATATAGAACATCATCCTAACCATCGTCTTCACCAGAATATCTTGACATTTGTGTGAGTGATGATTATAATTATGTGAGCAGTGTCAAACCTGCAACCGGTTTACTCCAGTTTGATGCTCAGAGATTTGAGTGTGGGTGGATGTCTATCATAGAGGTTTTCAATGTTGCAGAATCATGGATAGCAAAGCACGTCTCCTCTAGTCGGAACACAAATAGTGTACAGGTGAAGTAATCTATTAACCGAATTTTGTCAGTGTGCACTGATGAAACTAGTTCACTGAGTGACTCTGTATAATTTTCACAAACTTTTATTTTGGAAATTTTCAAATAGTAAAAAATCCAAGTGTCTTAATCATGAGTTTACGTAATTTTAGATAATTGTTATGAAAAAGCATTTGCATAAAATATTAACAGATCAACGATCTCAATCAAAATCACAGTCTGATAGTTGAAATTTTTGGGATAAATTCATGTATTAGACGAAAGTATTCATGCGAATGTCCACGAGAGAGGAAAGTAAGAAATGCTGTGAGTAACAAATGGAGTTTGTGATTGTGGATAAAACAGAATGGTGCTGATTACAATTCATATATTGACTTGTGAGACCACTATCCATTCGTTGTTGAGATTGCGAAATGTTCATCTTTTTTCCTCATCTCATTTCAGAGGTGGATGCCCAGGCCACTTTCCATATGATGTAAAAGGTCAGTACAGGCAATCGAATATAAGGTATGGCAGACAATGGTATAATCGGAAATACGGAAGATGTCGTCGGGCATACGTGAAACAAAGGTGTAATCTTGAAAACGCAAAACAACTAAATCAGACACCTGAAATTCAAAACAGGAAGTACAAACTCATTAAACAATACCTCTGTCCGAATAAATAAAACGTGTGATGTAATAAAAACACTCGTCAATTCTTCACACACTATCACAATTGAAACCACGTTCACATCAACACACTTGACACTTCCTTTTATCTCCAATATTAAAAACAATGCTACCTGCAAATGTACTGTTTTGTCTCTCTCTCTCTCTTTAAAATGTGAACAAATTGTTATCTGGCTATTACGACTAATGGAAACGTGTGTGGAATATTGTTAATAAACAGGATGGTTTTGTGGATTTTAATGTGACACCGTCTGTTTGAGTGTGTATGATTACGGTTGTGAGTTTGTTTGTCATACATTTTAATGAAATGTAGGTTTTCACTTTAGTTTTGCTTGCGCAGTGTCTACCTTAGCGCGAACTGTACGATGACAAACTGTTAATTATACACATAATGAGTAGACTATCGATTATACTTGATAATATTTCACTAGAAAGCATTTGAAATGCACAGATTAGACGAATAGAGTCAATAATGTCAGTCATTTCACAGAAGTGAACTAGAACAGTGATGCATGTTTAACGTGTTTGATGTGAAAGGTATTTTAGTATTGTATCAATACATGTAAATTCTAGTCAATATGCATATGTTAGTCCTGTGGACACCGAAATACATAATGGATTTACGCTAATACTAGTTATTTAACACGTTGTGAATGAACCGATTCTAGATGAAAGTAGCGTTCCACGCGAATAATTCACTTTGTTTGACATACAGGACGGAATCTGAAGCACTTCTCCACATCGTGAATCAACAAACAAATCACTTCAATACCCACATTGGTTGATCACCATTTATGAGAAAGCAACAGTCCAGAGATATTTTTCGATATTTGGGACAAACTTATATTGACATAGAAACCGATTTTCTGTTTACTAAATTGAACGTATTCTTATTATGTATAATGGAGAAATTGGAATTAATATCGCTAATGATTTACCATAGTTTATCTCAAATAATGATTATATATTTACTGAATGTATAAGATAGATTGGCAAACAGACAGACAGTGGAATCGCAATGACCAGAGGATGAACTATTTTCTAGCAAGTGTAGATATCCTGGAATATGGTTAAATGTTTGCATTCACATTATGTATATGTACATTAGTAAAATAGCTATGATTATTGTCTATATTTTCTGTACATAAGTCAGTATCTGACACATTTTCAATAAAGCATTTCTGTTTTCTATGTCTCTATCTACTATACATAGCAAGATAAGCTACATAATAGAACGTTTCAAACAACGTTAATCTTTAAACATTTCCTATGTTCGATTGCTTACTTTCTCAACATGGTCTTCAATATTATTTAATTAGTTCGTAATCGCTTTAAACTGTTGTCATCTTCATATTATTTATTTATTTTTATTGTTATTAATGTTAACTTTATTATTTATTTATTTGAACATATAAATATTGGTACAAATGGGCATCGAATATATATGTGTAACACAAGTCACTTGGTTTGTGTGTGAGCTATGATACTGCCCGGGTGGCAAGACCGAAGCAGATGTCTTTCCTAGGGGGCCACGCCCGGAGCCTTGGACCTAAAGGTCTGATCCACAAGTCAGTGGAGCAACGTCAGGAGATGCAGTCCCATAGTAGCTGGTGACCAATCATTGGTTCACACGCCATTTGCTCCCTAAGGATCCTAAAGCCCATGTGCACCATTGGTTTGGAATCAGGATTTTCCAACTCTTCTAGGTGGACTCACCGTAACACCAACCCGGTTAATGCGCCTGACATTCGTCCGAGGTGGGGGTAGAGAGATGAAAACTATTCTACCAACTGATTGGCTGGCAAGCACGCAAATGAGAGAAGACAAAACAGTTGAAACACTATTGGCTGTATTGCGATACACTGATTTCGTGTGAAATCTCTGAATTCCCTGAATTCCAGATCAGTGCAAAAAGGTACATGGATAAATAGGTGATTCACCTGACCACAACGTACAATAATTTGGAAAAATACAATTATGTCCGAAACTGGGAATTAGGGTAGAAAATAAGGTGCAAAATATCATGTTTAAATTACAATGGTTTCGGAACAAAAAGGCTATGGCAATGAATGATACATCGAACGAAAGCTCATGTTCTGTAGAATAAAATAGGGACAAAAATAAATGTCAGCGTTTTACAAGCTTTGAATAAAATGAAATAACGTCCCGATTAACAACTTTCGTTGTTTGTCAGGGCTTCTTGTTTCCTTGTTCACAACAGTAGAACTTCCCTGACAATGGCTGTATACGTGTGACCATGTGAGAGCATTTCGAGAGGACGAGCTAACTCTCCCCACCCTCGACCGTACCAGGGCATTAGGGGTTACGCACTGTTGAGGAGTCCCATAACAGAACGAAATGACCGTCCAGTCCTTCTAAGTTTTCAACCATTAAACTTTAGTTTCATTCAACACAGTTTATACAATCCGTTCAAATTTAATCACGTTTATTATCCTTCTGACTTATACAGATAGAAAAATTTCCGATAAATTTAACATACCGTCTCACTAAGTTGTAATGATTGTTCTGGAATGAATCTAATCACGAAGAGCTTATTAACAAAAATGATCATCAAATATTTTTAACTACAGTCATATTTTATAAATATGATAAAGTCTTGTTGATTAATGTTTTAGAGAGGTTTACTTTGCACTCATTATGTTATGGGGAAAATGCCTATAACTTAATATTCGGAATTAATTAGTTAACTTTTTCTATAAGTAAACAGTTTAGATAAAGATTTGGTTAATGAAAATTTACAATGAACTAACCAATTGTTATTTCAAATCAAACAAAATGAAAACTATTTACACTGACACTTTACTAATATTATATAGTTAAAACATTATTCTCTCTTCGTAGATGATAGTCAGTTAGAGTAGTTGACTAGGCTGAATAGAAGTAAGGTAATTCATCTGGGTATATGTACAGTGAAAGAAAGTTTTAGGGTTGTTTGTCAACTTATTAACTCCTAGACAATTAAAAATAGAATAGAATTACCTATATGTGAAATACAAATTTGAAAATCAGAAAGAGCACTGAACGACACACCAAAACTCTGTTTACTCCTTATACATCAAGATGATTTTCCTAAGTATAAAACTTGTGACTTAAGGCAATATCAAGGCAGAATGCACATATGCCAACAAGAGACTGATCAATTACAGTCTTTAACAACAATGAGAAGGCATAAGTAAATAATACCAAATGAATTAAGGATTACTGTTGTCATACTTGAATCATATGAACTGAATGAAAGTTACAGTCCTAACGTCAACTAATAAGACAGATTGTTACAATTTACTCTGCCAACTTATCCAACCTCTTTGTAATGTTATAGATTATACTGTATGCATATTTGTCTATTTTATCCTTTGTCTATTTTCATATCTAAGCTCAAGTACAAAGTTATTTCAGAGAGTTGATATTCATACCATTTGACTAATTATTCAAATTGAATTCCTCTAAAGTATTATATACTTAATTTGTATTATGATTGTCGTTATTCTGTGGAGTTTGACTGAATGTTTCGGACGAAAATAAATTATGAATCACATTACATTTATTATCATCATCATCAACATCATCATCATGGTCATCATTCATATAGTCAACATGAATGATAACACTTCAATTTTCACAGTTCCATTACAATGTTTTACTAGACAAAAATAATGTTTACTTTATCAAGTTATATTCTTGTACACATACTTCTATCTAAATGAAACATTTATGTAATAATAACTCTTATTATAAACTATTACATAATTATTGTCAGAAATGGGATTTGGTGAATATTATAGTAATTTGAATAGTTGAATTTATAAAAGTCATTTAACGCTAGATCACCATGGAAAACCTGGAAGTACGGGACGACTGTTTAGTCCGATTATCGAACACCTTATCAATGCGCATTCACGATTCCATCCATGGGATTCGAATCCAGGAACTATCAGTCCCACGGGTTAACGCTTAACCTTCGGGCCACTGAATCAGCATAATCTCTTTGATTTATTTCTTTAAATAAATATGGTTGAATATAATTATTAAAAGAAAATTTTTTTGATTTTGAAATATTTTAATCATTCTTATAATTAACCAAACAGTTATTCATACATTCTATCTAATTATGAATTTAAACCATACTGTGTTAAAGTGTAAAATATTTTAAACATTATTCTGTTTTCATACATGAACATCAGTGATATTCGGTTATTAGACTATAATGAAATAGGGTAAATCCTCATAAAATCTGGGTTCATAAGGTTTCCTATTGATATATTTACCCCTAAAAAAAAAGCAAAAACACAATAAAATGAATCATTTGTTTATAAATAAATAGAACTCAATAGAAATGTACTTTATAATACAGTTTCTTTTTTCTTGAATGTAAATATCCCGTCAACTGATGTACTACTTTGAAGTGATCCATTCATTGTATATCTCAAAGTCCAAACCAATTAAATTTCTGTCACCAGTAACGGATTGATCCTGACCAGATTGTTTTTACTCATACATTTAAAGTATTCTATCATCCTAGTGACTGTGTTTGACTGGTATTTCATGAATTCTACCTAGACAGTGTGACTTGTAAAATTCAATCATTTCAAGCCTCAATCAGTAACCACTGATAGAGATGTATGTTAGTCGTACAGTATAATGAACTGACTGAATTTGTAAATGTGTTCTTTTTTGGATGTTGTGATAATGTAGTAAGAAGTTGAACCTAAATCTTCTAAGTCTAATCTCCGATAGGTTTGTGAATGAACAACAATGATTAACATAATGTTAGCACAGAACACTTTCTGTTTTGTTATTATTATCTATTCAAATTTATTCTGTTATGCAAAGCTCTAAAGCAACAACAGCAACCAAAAACATACTGTCCTAATATTATCACGTTCTCATAGTTATGACATTGAGAAAAGTTTCCGAAAGTCACATAAACCGATGGGAATTGAATAAAATATTTCATGAAATTACATACCCTGGTCCATAGTTGCAAACAACAAGTATGTTATTTGGTGCTTCTAGATTTTTACACTTTGCAAACCCACATCCAATATGTGTGGTATCGGCAAATGCTAACTGTAAAAGATATATATATATATATATATATATATTAATATAAAATATTTTCAAAATAATTAGTCTAATTAAGTCGGTTCGAATGAATTAAAACAACGAAGTATGACAAAGTGTATTTTTCACTATTCGTCATGTATATACAACAAATCAACTACATTTTATTGCCTACAGAATATTCTTTGCTTCATGAATTAGATCGAGTAGAATAGAACTGCCGCAACATATAAACTGTACCATTTCATATTCTTTTTTCGATAGAATGACAATTCACTAACTAACAATTTATATTTGAGTGATCTTACCAAACACTAGGCTTTATATTATTATGTATCTTTAATTATTGTATGAATGAAATGTACAATGTTAAAGCAATCAACTTTTATGTCGATTATAGTTCTAATAAGTTTGGAATGTGTTCAACTTATGTATTCAAAAGATTAAAATTATGTTCAACATGGAATTCACAATGTGTATATTCATACTATCAGAGACTCCTATTAACAAAGAAATCTGTTCACGAGATAACAATGAGTGAGGTAATCAATAAAATAGTTCTTGATCGAGTGAGGCACAACACATTTTCCAAAATAATCGGTTTTCCTTTGTATACTAATAGAATTCCTTCTTCTTAATTGAAACATGTGAAATTTTCAGCATATGAGTGTTATCTATTGCGGATGGAAGAACAGATCTCGATATACAGTTTATTGTTCATACTTTTAAATGATATAATAAGTTATTCTGCAGTGTGTTTAGTGAAATATCAAATATCCATGTGTTAACAAAGAATTGTACATCATCTGTAATTCCATAAATAGTTGAATTCATTAGTCAATTGAAGTTAGAACACTATGGAAAATTTGGAAGCATTGGACGACCGTTTCGTCATAGTGTGCGCCTCCTAAGAAGTGCGCATCCACGATTCCGTGCATAGGTTCCGAACCAAGGGCCTGTCGGTCTCGCGGGTGGACGCTTAACCTCTACACCACTAAGACGGCTGGCAACCGATGGTATTATTGTCTAACTTCAACCAGTACACATAAAATTGTGCCACCATCCACCATTGTCTTCAGGAAGTTACTACCTTAGGGTAGGTCTGGTTTCGCCCTACTGATCACAGTTTATCACTACAACTCCAGGAAATACCTGGACGAAACGCCCATCTAGTGCTTCCAGTTTTTCCATGGCGGTTCATCATCAATTGACTGATGAATTCAAACAATAATATAAATCAAGTTGTGTTATTATTGCATTTCTGAATATCATCAAACGCCGAACTCAAAGTAGTATTATTCAACTGTGAAATCGTCTCATATACTACTTAAATGTTATTTAATTAAATAAAGTGAATTCTGTTGATTTAGACGGGCATCAAATATATAACACAGAAAACTAAATATTTTTTGCTTGTTTTGTTCAGATTATTTCTTTTCTTTACAATAATCAAAATGATATTTGTTCGACACTCACTTGTTTGTAATTTGCACAGGTTTTATTTGGCCGACAAATATTTTTATTGAAATTGTAGTTCTTATGTTCGTCAAACCACACAGACACTGCGCTGCAAACATGAATCATCGATTGAAGATAAAGAAGAGGAAATAGAAAACACTTTTCAATGTCACTTATAATTCACAAATCATACATGTTCAGAATTGTTCACTAAGTGTCACAAATGATAACGAGTTGTTTAACATAATTTCTTAACATACTTATTTTTACTGGTTATCAACAAAATGAAGTTATTATAATAAACCTACTCTCTAACTTTAGAAACGACAGCAATATTCTGGCCGACATATGTCCATTTTGAACCATCCCTCATGGTTAAGTTACTTCTTGTTGGCACGCAATGAAATGCCCATGCTTGAGCTAGTTTAGCCAATTTATGACTCCATTGCTAGCATAAACAATGAAAGCATTTTATGAATATTAGATTGTGATTAACAATGACTACCAAATATTGAGAATTTCTAACTAATTTACTTACTAGTTTGAGCATACTATCTGCTTTTGGTTGATCGAGAACAGTACCATACTTTATATCCCTTCTATATGCATTGTGTAAAACTAGTAGTTCAGAGTTTTCTATATTCCAAAAGATGGCTCGATTTCCATAAACATTCAATAGCACTAAAACAATGAGACTAAACTGTGTTTTATGCATATTGAATAGATGATTCGTATGAACTGCTTGCATCGATTCAATTTATACATTTGTGAATTTATTAGTTGATCAATCAAAATTCACAAGATCACTTAATAAGTAAACAATAATATTAATAATAATAATCTGTTTACCTTTTTTGTATTATAAAATGATGAACTGAAAGCAAACAAATAATCTTGAATCCTCTATGTGTTTTATATTATCGTTTGTTAAATATGTTTAAAAAATTAAGACATACTCTACAGGAAGTTCTCTGTATTGTACCTATGTACCTACAAATGAAAAAAAATGTATGATCCACTGATTGAAATCATGAGTCAATTGAAGCTAGACCACCATGGAAAACCTGGAAGCACTGGACGGCCATTTCATCCTAGTACGGGACTCCTCAGCAGTGCGCATCCACGACCCCGTGAGACTCGAACTCAGGACCTATCAGTCTCTCTCCAGGCTCCTGGCGCGATAATCATATGCTCACTAGTGACTGACTTCAAGAGGTACTCCTGGAGTTCTAGTGAGAAGCCGTTACCAATGGAGTTCAACCAAGTCTGTTGTGAGATATCAACTCACTGAAGACAATGGTGTACGGTGGTGCAACTTCGTGGATTGGTTTAAGTTAGACATTAACACCGTTGGATGCCGGTCAGCTCAGTGGTCTAGTTGGTTAAGCGCCTTGCGCGAGACTGATAGGTCCTGGATTCGAATCTCACGGGGTGCGGGATCGTGAATGCGCACTGCTGAGGAGTCCCACACTGGGACGAAACGGCCGTCCAGTGCTTCCAGGTTTATATGGTGGTCTAGCTTTAACTGACTCATGATTTCAATATGTGAAATTTCTAAAAAAAATCTCCACAAAACCCCTTCTGATATTATGATTCAATTTGTATTTTAACTTGAATTTGTCAACTTTACAAAAGCTTTATTTGATAAGTAATCTTAAGTTAACTGAATACTATTGTTTGTTCAAAAAATATTCATTTTATTACTTCTATATTATGATTTCTGAATGATTATTGAAATTCATAGATTATATCACCCATCAGTTTTATTTGGTTGTCAATTGAAATTAGAAATTACTGGTATAATGTCCTATCCCAGCATGGGACTTTTAAAAACCAGATGGTGGTATATCCTTGCAGCAAATTATTAAATCTAATGATTTGTTGATGTATTCACTTCTATAGTTTTTCGTCTTTTTATTATTTTCGTAGCTTCGATCATTTAGAATACTGTGGAATACAAAGACAAATAAATTAATAATCCTGTCAGTAAAATCTAGTTTATGACTGTCGTTAGACAAAACCTAGTTACCACATTACCATTAATGGTGAAATTACAATTAAGAAGAAAATCACATATCAATCTATCCTCATTTCTCAGTGGTAAGTTGTAAAGTTCACAGTGAGTACCATGATGTAGCTTTACTAAGCTCCATACTTATGGTATTTGGTATATGAGTAAGATCATGAGCGGAAAATCAATACACAGCCTTAAAATCATTTGTGAACAGAACTGATTTATTTATTTTGTAACAAAGTAGATATGGCATACGTAAGCTATAAAGAATCCGATACCTAATACACTCACTTACATTGCATCAACTGCAAAGCGCTAAGTAGAAAGTTCATTTTAGCTATCTGCGTACCATCATAGATGAACGTAGAGGATCTGATGCAGACGCAAATGCTAGTATTTGCAAAGCAAGGACCGCATTCCTATAATTGTAGAATATATACAACTCGAAACAACTGTCAACCAATATCAAAGTCACAATTTTCAATACGAGTGTGAAATTAGTTAGTCCTATTGTATGGAGCTAAAACTTCGAGAAGTACTTCAACTATCATCAATAAAGTACAAGTATTTATAAAAAATTGTCTACATAAGATAGTCAGTGTCCGTTGACCGGATACCATCAGCAACAGCCTGCTGTGTGAGAGAACAAACCAGCTTCCATCTGAAGAGGAAATTAGGAAAAGACGTTGGAAGTGGATAAGACATACAGTTCGGAAATCATCAAACTGCATCTGGATGCAAGCCTTTACCGAAATCTTGAAGGAAAAAGAAAAAGATGAAGATCAAGGAACACATTGCGTCCGAAATTAGAAGCACACATGAAAAGAATAAATAGCAGCTGGAAAAAACTGGAGAAGATTGATCAGGACAGAGTTCGATAGAGGGTCCTGGTGGATATACCAGTAAATAAAATTGAAGCATATATTTCGTTAACTTTATTTAAAAGAAAGATGAGAAATTAGTATAATTACGTTTCAAATACTCATTTGATTCATTGTAAAATGTCTCTACATAGATCTTCTGCTTTCAGTATTCTTACATTCACAGTGTTATAAAACGAATTCAGTGTACCATTTAATCATATTTCAGTTGATTATCTTTATAAACATTATTATTACACTTCTCAATTCTAGTTAACAATAATGTCTATGTACTCTTTCTTCATAGAAATTAATCAAAGTTTCAATTTCCTTGATTATTTATACAACAAAATGATTTTGTTAGAAAAGGATTTCCAATTTGATGGTATGATGTATAACATTTACACTTATTTTTAATTTCATATTATTTGTGTAGAAATATGAGAATTATTAACAAATAGAATGAACACAAACAACATACAAAATTATAACTGTAACAGTTTAATTAAATATTTGCTAACTAACATATTACTAAACATTATTTATGAGTAATATGTTTAACCATCATTAACTGTAGTTAGAAGAGGATGAAGTGTTCGTATACTGAAGAGTGGTAAAATGTGTGCATTTGTGGTGTGGCGTCGAGTCGCGGTTGATTATGATCACCACTACAAGAAGACTAGGTGCCAAATAACCGATAAGATCCCCGTAAGCCAAATATCAGAAAGTAGTTGATGGCTATAGTCGAGATGTATTTGTTGGCGACCTCATGGTATCGAAAGAATACCGAGATCGTGCCAATGGAATACAAGTGTGGTTACTGAGCGTAACCGAATCCGTGCAAGGTCACAATCAACGGAAGGAAGAATGTTTTTAGTACAGTTAAACAAACAAGTACAGTAAGACAATCACTGGTACAATTGGTTACAATAATAATTGTTCCCATTAGACCAATCACGTCCTCTTGATAAAAGTAGGTCACTGCACACTCGCAGATGGTATATGTAAAATATTTAAATAAATTTAGTCACTCATCACATACTTTTACTTGGCTCAGTAGCACTTATACACATATATCCATTATCGATTTAGCAATTAAGGCTTCTGAATTATTCCCTGTTTTATTCGGTGAGACTATAATTTATGGATGACCTATGAGCAACACTATAGTGACATTGAGAATGTCCACCTATCTACAAGAGCTAAATGAAGGTTATAGACCTGTAGGAAGAATAAATATTATGATTTACAGTTGGTAGTTAAGGTAAGCAACTAAATTTAAGGTTTCCATCACGAACTGATATCACCTATAGTGCCAAAACGGTGTTTAGCCAAATGGATGAGTGAATTTAGCACCAAAATCTAAGACCTGTTATCTTATACCTGTTTGGTTCGTCCATAAATTATTTTCTCGTACTTTACTGCCCACTTACTGTGTATTGAGTATATTGATATTGTGTTCAACTGCAATTTGGTCCTTGTGCAATAAAAGGTTCCCAGTAAAACGTTCTAAATTGTGTTCAGTTTTTCGAGGCTAGAATAAAAGGTAAGAACAATGTATTACACAAAGACCAAATTTCAACTGAACACAATATCAATATACACAATACAAAGTAACTGGGTAGTAAAGTTTGTAAAATTAACAAATCAAAAAGTTTCATTTTACTTCGTAACATAATAGCCAGAATATTTTTACAGATCAGTCACGAATAACTGCAAATAAAATTATAGAAGACTAATCAACAGAAGCGACCAAACAAAAATTTCGTTCCAACATATTAATTTACTTAACAACCATATAGGATTAATTTACGTATCGAAAGTCGTTAAACAGATACATATATTCATTTATTGTAATAATCACATTTCATTATCTAGTTAGTAACAACAGCGTGTAATTTTATTTCATCCATATTAGTTAAGAGAGGATTGGTAAAAATGCAGGCAGCAATGTCATTCCACCACAAAGAACATAAGTTAACATGATTGCCCAAACAACTGAGAAAGTATATAGATCTAACAGGAGAGTCAGCTGACAAAAAAACGTATTGTTGTGGTGTCTGTACGAAACAATAATTCTTTTGTACATAATGTCTGCCTGATCCTGAATTCCCAAAACAATACGTTCGTTTGCGCTCATTTAGTTCTCTTTAGTCTAAATTGTGTTATTTCTGGAATTCTATTCATCACAATTGCGTAAATAATTAAAATTTCATATAGAGCCTTTCAGTCCTAGATCCGAAGCAATAGTTTATCACCTATAAATGGTTTAATTGTCCAGTATAAATGTGATAACTCAAAATAAGCGTTTCAGTAATTTATTTCAGTTTTCAAATCACTTTAACTTGTGAAACCACTCGTAACTTTTAAGTCGATAGCCTCTACACATTTCGTTTGACAAACAATTTGTAATTCGGCCAAACACTACAACCCCTGAGCAAAGACGCTTGGTAAACTTACTTCGCTTGTTGCAGAACAGGCGTATTTTTCTGTTTTTAGAAGTTATAAGCCTGTCAATTTTCTTAAAATTTAGGAAGAAGATTAGATCCACTTCTACCATAACATGAATAGAATGGAAAAGCATAAGAGCTGTACTGATACGAATTTCAAATATCTTTACTGGCCACACTTTAAGCTATTCTGGTTAAATTGTACATATCTACATTTACTCCAACTTATCGCTACATGTTCCATTGAAGATAAATAAGTTCATCAACTTGTAGTCGGAAGCTAACAAAATGGACTAACTATCACCATATAGGAAGACATCATGCTACAAATATGTTAGAAATCATTGGACATATTTAATAATGAACATCTTAGACAATCAATAACCATTATATTTTTGTTAATGTTGGAA